GGCTTGAAAAAGCTGAGGATATTGGCGAACATTTGCCATTGGCTGAATTAGCTAAAAAGCTTTATGAGATAGAATTACGCTGAATTGCTAGACATAAAAGGAATAGAATATCTGATCCGCTAATATCTCAACGAGCATCTCAGCAAATATATGAACCTTCACCAGTTTCAGCTCCGCAACAGCATGGAATATCTTTAGAAGATATGCAAAAAGCAATCCAAAACACACTGGCACAACAAAAAACTGAAAACCAGGCATTAGTAAAGAAAGTTATAGAATTACAATCACAAATAGCTCAGCAAACCCAAGTACCTGCTCCACAAACTGTTGAACCCGTTAGACAGCCAAGAAGTTCACCATCTACATTAAAGACAGAGGAAGGTCTTAAGAATTATTATGTAGCTGAATTTTTAAAAAATTTAGGTGTAATTAGTAAGGAAGATTTAGATACTAATTATTCTGTAAAGAATTTTCAAAGACCTCGCCAACAACGAAGTAATGTTTTTGCTAGAATTGATAGAGTAGAGGAGGGGATAGATGAAACTCGTGATACTGTAAATCAACTAACAAAACAATTCCAGAAATTAAATATATGTAAATGTGATATTTGTGGGGAAACAGGCTATAGTAAAGGTAGTTGTCCTAAGTAGATTGCACAATTCAATTTTAATCAGGGTTATTTTAAGCTTCTCACACCTATAAATTGCCAAAACACGCCTTCAGGTTCTGATAATGAGGGAGATAGTTATGATGATGATGAACAAAATAGATGCTATGAACAAAATAGATGCTATGATCCACCGGTAAAAAAAACAGGTATCAGTAAATAAAAAGTTATCCACGGAATCTAACCAACCTGAAACATATGACGAGCTATTGCCAAAACTTTCACTGGCAATGCGTAAAATGTGTCTATCTCGAAAGACTCAGGAGGAGAAGTCAAAAAAAGATAAATGGTTTTCGTCTCTACAATACTTGAATGCTAGTATAAATGACTTACTAATCTCTGAATCTTTTTTAGATAATGGAAGTAAATTTGATGGATTTAATTTAGCTACTGGTGAAGCACTTGGATGGAAAGTTGATAAGCCTTCCAAATTTGCTGTAAAAGGTAATTCTGAACATATCTCTGAAGTATTAGGATGGTTTACAAATGTAGCGGTCACTCTAAAGGACATGAATGGGAACTCAATCATCACTATTGTTGAAAATTATGCTTGTGTTGACAATGGTGAGCCTAAGTCAATACTATGGCTGGGGGCGACAGAAATTCGAAAAGTTAAAGGTATTTCTGATCCAACTAAAAATCAGTTTCGCATAGAGGATCATGGAAAAACATATATTATCTCAACCTTTAGCAAGGCTCTAATAGTCAAAGATCCACCAAAAGAGGAGCATGAATCATCATCTCAGGTATCCGCTAACTCTTCTGATCCAACTAGTGAGGAGGACTTAAAAAAAAGTGCATAAACTGTGCGAAGCTTAAAGAGCATCTTACAAAGGCTGAAGAGTGGCTTGGTAAAGCAATAAGTGCTATAAAAATACTTGCTGAAAAGAAGTAAGTTATTTAATATCATCCATTTATTTTAATATATCTTCAAGTTCAGATCCCATTTTAGATACAATATCAGTATTATCTGTGGTATTAGCACTGCGCTGTGAAACCACCTCTGTTTCCGTCTCAGTAGATGCTGTTTTACCTGCTTTCTTTTTTTGACTATTTTTCTTCAGTGGTAAGGCAGGTGGAGAGGAAATAGCAGGAGGTGGGTCACAGTTTACTACAGGTAAACACCCACCTGCATAAGTAGTATTAGAAATATCAGCTATTGGTTAATTTCAGACAATTCTATTAGCTTCTTCGCCTCTCCAAATCTGATATATATGCTTCATTAATGTATTATATTTGACCATCAATTCTTCTAAAACTTTTTTTCTAAGTCTCTCATCATGGCGTTGTATAATAAAATCATAATCGGTTGGTAAAAATAGAGGTGTATTACAATTTATACGCTGTCTAACCATAGTTGTAATGATATTTTTTTTAGATAAAATATTCAAAAAATATTAAATAGACTAAATAGAATGAATGTATTCTTTGGGATAAAT